CTTTATTTCAATGTGCAGGAAACAAACTTGTCTTTTTCTCTGGAGGAAGACACTATCTCTGTCTTTCAAGGATATTTGTACAACAAACAGCCTTGAAAGGATAGCATTCTTCAAAAGGGAGTCAGTGCCTGTGCTGGAAAGACAAAGAGAAATAGAGACTCACAGAAAACGGTCTCCAAACAGTGAGTCATTAATAGAATCATGAAATAAATTCAGAGGGTTTAAACACACAGAAGAATATTTCATGTAGTGGGGCAAACAGTGTTAGGACAACTTTCCTTTAAAAATATTTTTTTCACCTTTTCTCATTGACAATACATTTGAGATACATTGGCTAAGATATTATTAAATACACTGAGTTCTTACATTCTGGGTGACATGACTTGGCTTGCATTTTATCCAGGATTGTGCAATAGCAACATGTATTATACTGGGGCTATTCTGTAATATAAATCATAAACACAATGCCATAAATGACATATTATGATCGTGATTAATAAACATACTCAATTGCTATTTTTGGAGACTAGGAAATTTTAGATACTATATTGTGGGCTTTTTTTTTTTAACTAAATGGAGTTTTAAGAAGATAAATTTTACCTCTGGTCACGGGTAGATAGTAGAGAAAATATGTAGTATGAGTTTGGACCATTCAGAGAATAAAATATAGTGTGGGAAAGTTTATATTACTAAGTTGATGCTTTGCCAGGCATTGGATTTAATAAGGAGCACACACAAAAATTAACAAATATTTGACATCTTAACAGCTCCAAAGAAAATATTTTTTCTGACTTGTATGCCTATGAAATGAAAGTTCTGGACAGAGAAAAGGAATGTTGGGTCCTCAATGTATTTGTTAAATTCAAGATTTTTAAAAATACTTTACACAATAGACAAAATTTCATTAAAACTAGTTTTTAAAAGTCCACTTTCATAAATATCTACTGAGTTCATCTTTCATAAATATCTACTGAGTTCATATATGCAAAAAGTCAGAGGATAGAAAGATATGTAAAATGTCTACCTGACTTCATGTGGATTAGAGTGATCACAATTTCGAAGGGTAGAAATTATATGTAATTTTCTACTTTACATACCTACCGCATTGCCTCTATTTAAAATAAGTATTTGCTGTTATTATTGCTAAGATCAGAGCCATAGTAGAAGGTTACAGTGCTAACACATTATTTTATATCAATTGAAAAAGTTACCCATTTAAGTGGAGTATTTCTAAATCTTTGGGAAAATCAATTTTAAGAATGGATGTAGATCATGTTTTAGAAATAGGCATATGAAATCTTAACATGTGAAGCCATTATCCCAAGAATTATACGATCTGCTATAGAGAGAACTTTAATGGCAGAACCAAGCACCATATCACTGGGTCTATTACAAAATAGAATTATTGTTTTTATAGGCTTAACTTGTTTAAAGCAAGAATATGCAAATATTCTTCTTGGAATATTTTAAACATGAAGAAATGCCATCAGTTCTTGCTTTCTCAGAAAAGCAGTTAAACCACTTTTCCGTAAGGTTCATCTAGCCTGAACACTTAATTAATTTCATTGTCCCCATTAAATGCTCTTTCCAAAGAAAAACCAAAGAAGAAAACTAGCTGGCAGAGATTTCACACACACCCATTTCTCCAAGACAAATTCTGGGCCCAGGAGTCATTCGGACAAGTCAAAATATCCTCATCATTTAAGATCTCAATAATGTTCTATACATGGATATTATTTATTTCATACATAATGGAGAGCATAAAGAAAGGTGGTATTTGTAGGAAGGTAGCAATATCCAGACTTTAAGGGGCGGTTTTTTGTCTACTATAATCAAGAAAGGAGTGGGTTGTAGATGTAAATATCTGAATATATAATCATTTGTCTATCTTTTTATACAAGACAAAGGGTTTTCTTTCAGTATATTCATTAGCTGCACTTTCAACCACATGGGTAATGCGTTACCTAAGATGACCAGCCTGGTTTCCTTAAAGTCAAGCAATCTGACTTCAGCATTGGTTTGAGCTTTTATGATTCTTTTTCTTTACAATCGGATAGAGTTTTTGCTCCAACACTTAATTTGATAGTAATTTTTGTTTTTAATGACTCACCCATATCAAGTCATTCAAAGCTTTCAGCTTTAGATTTATACTCATATTTTACTGTTTTAATAACATTTAACTTGTATGTATTTTTGATAGTAACCACAATGGAAAAATGAGGTTGAAATAAACAAAATTAACCCTTAAGAAGTATTTAAAGCTCTAATAGTGGGTGTAGGAGGGAGCAGTGCTCCAAAAGGTGGCATTTACTGTGTATAAACACGCAGATGGCAGCAAGCAGGGTCTGCCAAGCCAGGGAAGGGGTAAGTTGTTAAGGAAGTTTCTATTGTGTGTCAATTCTTGTTGCTATTGGCATTTATACAGAATATAGGTAGTCCTCATCTTCTTTAACACTTAGAAAAAAACTTATTTTTGAAAGTCCAGTTTGCCTCAGTTCACAGACCTTTTAGTTTACACTTACTTGCATATAATTTTCATTGGTATGTAGCATTCTTTTTTGTTTTTTGAAAGAGAGAGAGCAGGAGGGGCAGAGGGAGAGAGAATTTCAAGCTGACTCAGTACTAAGCATGGAGTGGGACACAGGGCTGGGCTTGATATCATGACCCTGAGGGCATGACCTGAGCCAAAACCAAGTCAGATGCTTAACCAACTGCACCACCCAGGCCACCCAGTTAAGCATTCTTTAGAGCTTCTGCCACTTGCTACTGAGAAAGCAGGTTTCTTGCAATCAAATTCCTGTGAAGTTTCTAAGACAACATCACTGTCCCACATGTAATTAATTGCATTTTCTCATCACAGTTTCTCTTAATGATCACATGCTATATTTTATTAGTATCTATTATCTATTCCTTGTGGTCACCTGGGTACTAGAGCCCCTTTTGGAACTATGATATTTATTTATTTATCGGAACTGTGATCTTTAAACTCACTCTTTGTTTCAGGGCATTTTCTCCTTTGATTCTTTAATCCTTTCCCTGAAGCATAAATTGCCAGAGCTCTCAGTATCCCTCTGGGTGTCTCACTGGTGCTTTGTATAATGCCACAGTGAATGGGGCCAACAATTCTTTTTAATATCCTTGGAAAATATTACTCAGTTTATTTTTACAAACCTTATCCAAAAAAGCATCATCTAATGATGCTTTGAATATTTTCACTACTCCCCAACCCGTATCTTTTGCTGATCTCATAGTAAGCATAGTTTGAGGTGGTTCTGTCGAAATTTTAAGTCTACTTCAACCCTGATCTTTATCTCTGGATTTGGTAGCCATAATTACCCTGTGACCTTCACTTTCAAATTTCTTTTGAAAGCAGCTTTGCTTAATTGTGAATTTGTTCCCAAAAGCTGACAAAAACAGTGCCAGTTCCTTAAGATCTGGTGCTGTCAACACTCCAGAGACTGTTCTTTCATTGATTTTTATTTGTGCTTGATTCTGTGCTGTGATTATTTTTAAGCTGGTTACAGATTGCTGCCAGGGAAACCAAGCAATCAAAAGTCTTTGTTTATTGTATCTATATAACCATATGCAAATTCTACAGATGTTCTGAACTCTGAGAAGTGGTGAAGGTCAGCCTGTCTCTAAGGACTTGCTTAACAAAGGATGTTCAGAATCCATTTCGTATATTTCCAGTTTTTAAGGTCATTATTGTTTATTAAAGCCCACTTAAAACCAATGACTTTTGCCTATGAACTATAAAATAGGCTGCATTTTAAGTTGATTTTATATAACTGTTCTAATACCTGAGAGTGATACTGAACATCCTAATATTCATTTATGAGATGGAAGAGGAATTTATTAATGCTTATTATAATACTTATTAAAATTTAGTATTAACTATGACTGCTAAGGTAAGTGGCATACAAGGCAGTTACATCTGTTAAAGGCTTCTCCAAATACATTTGGAAGGCCTATATTGACTCAAAGATTACATATTCTAGATTGACTGACCATCCTGTAATAATCTTTACATCAAGTGGGCTTTCTCAGACCTTTCCTCTTCCACCTGGACCTCTGGAAGAAAGGTACGTATAAAGTATCCTAGGAAAGAAGAGAAGCCCCAGGCATTTTCTTTCACACGTAAGTCCAGAATCAAGCCATGTTTTTCAGCCGCATAAAGGATGGTTTATTCTGGCAGATGGAGGTATAGAGAAAAATCTATGCAAACATACAGTTGTACATGCACACACGTTTAGATAACCACAGAAAGACCAATACACTAAAGAGCCAAGTAAAATTCTCCAGTACTGGTCACTGCCCACCTCTCCCAGGGCAGAGAAGCGATTTAAAGCTACAGGTCTGTCTCCATGAGCGCCAGAGAAAAAAGCATACCGATCTTTCTGAAAATGGCTTGTAATTTCCTCCGTTCGCCAATAATCTGAGAGCGATGGGAACTCTAAAACTAAAGACTAGACCTCATGTCAGCCATACATCTTCGTTCGAAGAGAGCTTTAATTTAAATTTGCGCAAGGCACTCAGCACCTTCCCTCCATGGAAAATTGTTCCGTCCTACGCAAGAGTGACTCGAAAACTCAAACATTGCTCCATCCGAACTAAAGGACGAGGAGCAATCCAGCGACTCCCAGAGTTGGTAGACCGCCGTCCCGCCCCGAGGGTCACCCCGCCCCGAGGGCGGAGCCTATATTGCCCCGCCCCGCCCCGCCCCCTCGCGTAACCCGGATACACACCCACGCTCCCCTTTCACCTCGCAGCCGTTGGCTAACGTGGAAGTGAGACCCGCTGCCCGGTTGAGGACCCGGGACCGCGCTGCCCGGGACAGTTGGGCGCGCGGCACGTCAACGGTGGGCTTTTCGGCGCGTCTCGGCCTTTCCCGGAAGGGAGCGATGGGGCGCGCGCGCGCCGGCGAGCGGACGCCGGTGTAGGAAGCGCGGCGCACGGCCCGGGAGCGCGGAGCCCGGCCCGGGAGCGCGGCGGCGGCGGCGGCGGCGGCGGGTGCGGGGAGGCCTGTGAGGGCCGCCGCCCCGAGCGCCGGCCTCCCGCGCCATGGCCCCTATGGGCATCCGCCTGTCCCCGCTGGGGGTGGCCGTGTTCTGCCTGCTGGGGCTCGGCGTACTCTACCATCTGTACTCGGGCTTTCTGGCCGGCCGCTTCAGCCTCTTCGGCCTGGGCGGCGAGCCGGGCGGCGGCGGGGCGGCGGGGCCCGCGGCCGCGGCCGATGGGGGCACGGTGGACCTCCGCGAGATGCTGGCCGTGTCGGTGTTGGCCGCTGTTCGCGGCGGCGACGAGGTGAGGCGCGTCCGCGAGAGCAACGTCCTCCACGAGAAGTCCAAGGGGAAGACGCGCGAAGGAGCCGAGGACAAGATGACCAGCGGGGACGTGCTGTCCAACCGCAAGATGTTCTACCTGCTTAAGACCGCCTTCCCTAACGTGCAGGTGGGTGCCACGAGTGCCTGGCGCGCTGGGAGCGGATGGGCGGCGGCGCCTGCCCAGGTCCGGGAGCCGGGGAGCCTCGGAGCGCTTCCCGGCGCCTTGACTCCTCCGACGGCCCCAGGGCGTGGGGTCCTGACTGTCATTTTGCAGACGTGGAAATTGAGACGCGAAGTGTAGGTGCTCAAGGTCGTACAAACAGTTGGCAGGTGAGATGGGTGAGGTTGCAGGTAGTCTGACTCAGAGGCCTTACCCTTCTTGGCCCCTCCCGGGGTATGTGTACGGGCTTTGTACCTGGAAGCTGGAGCTCTCAGTTCTGGGTGGGCCTTGATATCAAAAGGTCGTGAAAGTTAACTTCATTCCTCACTGCAGGCCCTTTTCTAAAATGAAGGAGGTTGGACTAGGATTCTACCCCATGGCCGTGTAAGCCTTCCTTGATGTAATTGTTGAAAGGGTTGTGACTATAGAGTACATGTTTTTGCCGGACCTACCAGGAGCTAATTGAGGGCTAAAAACCGTAGAAGTCTTGTTGGAGAGCTGTTAATGCGCAGGGCATTTGTTGGGGGTATGCTTATGATATACTTCAGCTGTGGAGTGATCTCTTAATGGCATGTACTCTGGGGGCTCTTTAGAAGGGTGTTTGGAAGTATGTTTCCCAGCAACTTCATTTCAGCTGTCTACCCGGTTATTATCTCCAGATAAAGAGAATTGAAGAAACTTTGCATTTTATTTGGATAGATTTCTGGGGGAAGGAATTAACATTTTCTTAGGTAAATTCAGAATTTTGAATTTTGTTACTAATACTTCTAAAATTCATTTTAGTGGAGCTGCTGTTGAATGAATAAAATTTTAAAAAACATAATTCTGGAGGAAGAACTTGGCATAGCGTAGCAATGCTTTGTAAGTGTATGTCTTACCTCACCTAATAGTAGATTTTGGCTACTGGGAAGAAAAATTGTTTCCAGTGGTATTCTATTAATTAAATAAACAGTGAAATCTAAACCCCAGCTTCTTTCGAAGGCATCTGACCTTTTACTGTTGTTCTTGGAAGAGTTAGGAGAATATTGTCATTGTAGAATTTACTTATCTTGTGTAACCCTTCCTCTGGTCTGTCATATTATTGCTTTGTTTCTCCTTTGCCCTCCTTCTGTCATTTTTTCTTTTTTTTTTTTCCTTAAAAATTTTTTTGCAGGGGAAGGAACATTGGCTTCTGGCAGAGCTGCTGGCAGTCAGGTGTATTTGACGGGAGAATTCTCAAACAAAACACCAAACATTTATTTTTCTTTGCCCTAGCCTACTTTATCATTACAAATCTTTATCAACACAAATACTTACCTGGTGTTTTCATAAGTAAGATGTGCTTCTAAAATATATTCTTTCTCCAAAACATGTGTTCTTCTCTTCAGAGTTTGTGGAAGGAACAGGAGTTTCAGAGAAGTTGATGTAGAATAGTTACAGCAGTAGAAATGGTAACCATTTCTTGAGTGTATTTTAGGCCCCCAGATAGTGGCCACACAGGACTTCATTTGATCGCCACAGCAACTTTTTTATTTTTTTAAAGATTTTACTTATTTATTTGACACAGGGAGAACAAGGGAGAGAGAGAGCAAGCACAAGCATGGGGAACGGCAGGCCTCCCACAGAGCAGGGAGCTCCATGTGGAACTCTATCCTCGGATCCTGGGATCATGACCTGGGCTGAAGGCAGCTGCTTAACAGCCACCAAGGTGCCCTCGCCACAGCAACTTTTAAGAAGTAAATTTTATTTGTGCCAGTTTACAGATAGGAAATCTGAGGCTCATGAAACTGTAGTTTATGTCAACTCTCTAATTCTTCATTTTAGCTAGATCTTTAGGAGGCTACTTAAAATTTATGGTAAATTTCCTGGGAAAACATCAAATTGTGGAAGATTAAAAGCAATAATAATAAAATATACGAAGTAGAGTTGAATTTCTTTTTTTAAGGATAAAGACAAAATAGTCTTAAATACCAAAAACGTGGAAGTATGTGCGTGTGTGTTCACATGTGAACTCCCCACCCCTACCAAACCTTTTGCTTTGGTTAACTTCCACAGGATTCTGCTTTGTTTTCTCATTTATTAGCAAATGCTGTGGGAATAGCTGCCAAGGGTAGTGAGCTGCATTTTATTAAACATAAAAGCTAGGCTTTCAGAATTGCAGATGTTGAAGGCTCTGCCTTTATGTAAAATAACTTTTTGTTTTCTTGTGACTGAATGTTCACATGTATATTTTTAGTGTTGGACTTCAGCTGGGGTAAAGGAGGTTATGTTCATTTATACAGTATCAAAGTACGGTAGTGTCATGTTGAGCTGCTTCCTTTTATCACTATGTTGTTAAACTAGAGACCAAATACTGTCATCTAAGTAGAAACTCAGCCCTGGATTCTTTTCTTTCCTCTCCTGCAGCACCCAGAATACAGTCTTAAATGTCTCGTTGTTTTTGAAGCCTCACCTGGATTTTTTTGATAAGGAATTTAAGTCAAATCCCACTCAGTTTACTTTCTTATGGCAAATTAGCATTGAGAAGCCACAAATACTTTCTTCTTTTATCCTGGTGTCCTGTGCAAATAGGGAGAGGTGTCTTATTTTCTCTCATGATTTTCCTGTCTAGAATCAAGAATCTGAGTCTTGAATTCTGATGTTTACTTCTCAGAACAAGGTTATACCAGGTGTGTATATCTGAGTACACTGTAGAGTACTCATATGGGTGTGGTTTATCCTTGAGAGACATTTGGCAAAGTCTAGAGATTGTTTGTCACAAATTGGGGTGGAATGCTATTGGAATCTAGTAGGTAGACGGTTAACTGGCCCACAATGCACGTGACAGCTCTCCATAGCAAAGAATTATCTGGCCTAAGTTTTCAGTTGGTGCCCTGGTTGAGAAGCCTCTGCAGAAGTGTATTACCCTAAGAAAACTCAGGTTTGGCCTAGGATCCCTGGATTTCCTTTTGTCTTCAGCCTTTCTTACATTAGGGATGTAAGAGTCCTCAGGGCGGTCTTTCTCCTCTTCCTAAACACTCTGGCTATGCTTGATTTTATTTTAAGAAAGTAATAGTAACTTTAGCCATTTGTATGATACTGTCTTTATCCTTCTGAATAGTGATGAAAATGAAGGCTGACGATAGGTTTGAGGAATGAATTTATAGCCACAGAACAGACAAACTTGGATTTGTATTCAATTTAGCACACGGGGAGCTCTAACTGTGAGAGCCTCTATATCCTCAACTTATTTAAAGTTTTTGACTTTGAAAATGATTCATTTTGCTCTTCAGAGTCTTGGGTGTAGGCCTTCCTTGAACTCTAGGATGGGAGTTAAACTCTTCTCTCATTGGAAAAGTCTGAGAAGTGCTAATATCGTGCTAGAACACTTGCCTTGAGTGGTACCTGGGTGGCTCAATCAGTTAAATGGCTTCCTTCAGCTCAGGTCATGATCCCAGGGTCCTGAGATGGAGCACCACCCTGAGCTCTGTATAGGGCTCCCTGCTCAATGGGGAGTCTGCTGCTCTCTCTCCCTCTGTCTGCCACTCCCCCTGCTTGTGTGCGTTAGTGCTCTCTTTCTGTCTCTCAAATGAATAAATAAATTTCTAAAAAAAAAAAAAAATAAATAAAGGGAATCACTTGCCTTGATGTCTTGTCTAGTCACCCACCTATGTGATCCTGGCCAGTCATTTCACTTCTTTGAGCTGCAGTTTTCCTCTTCTGTAAATTCCAGATAACTAGTAATTTGATAATTAGTGCAGACATAAGCATTGCAGACAGAAAAAAACCCAAGTTGAAAGGAGCTGGCCCAGTAGAGGTGGTACTATAGTAAATTCAAGTATGCTGATAGGTCTGACTCCGATACACATTGGGGGAAATGACTGTGGAGGAAATTAGGAAGGTAAATGGGCTGGATCATATGCCAAACTCAAAGAAGTTTGAACGTGATCTTTAGTTTAATCCTAAAGTACTAAAGAAGACCAGATTTACCTGACTTTTCTTAAAGCCTACAATATGCTTTGGGCTGTGGTTGAGACCAGTTGGGGTATGTTAAAATAGGCTGTGCAAGAGATGAGGACCAGAACTCAGGCAGTGGGAACATTACACTCAGCTTGGTTTACTAGCTAACATTTATTTAGTTCGCAGTAGCAAGCACTGAATTAAGCTTTTAAGCTTTTTATTCCCATTATTAAGGTACTCTTGACAACAGTATAGGAAGTCAAGTACTATTGCTTCCATTCTGCAGCTATAGAAATTGAAGCTCGGAAAGGCTAAATAATTTACCAAACTTTAGATAGCTAGAAAATAATTTTAGGCCTGTAGAGAGATTCATTTAATGGTCAGAATCATCTCAGGTCTGTTTAATTCTATATATACGTCAGTATAGGAGGTATAACTACAGTGTACTTTTAACTAACCCACAGTATTTTGAATGATTAGAAGGCCTCAGAGTTGATGTTTTGAGAATCGTTTGGAGGGAGTAAACCGGTTAGGAGGTTTTTTTAAAGAGAGACATTCTGTATTTTAAATTGGGGTTATGTTTGTAGAGAAGATAGAATTGGAAAGAGATGAGAGAATTTCTAAGGATGTTACAGAGTGTATCCTATATCTGGCTTTCACAATTGTTGTTTTGCTTCAGATGAAGAGTGAGGGATGACCTGTCCAAGGGGGCAGATAATGAGTGCCATCGTAGACTTATGAAGTTAAGAGTTGTCTTTAATATGGCCAAGGGGACATGTTAAGGAGGTATTTGAATATATGACTCTGAAGTACTGAAGAGACATCTGAATTTGAAATACGAATTTGTGAGTCATCGTTGTGATATTAATTGGAACAGGATTGCTTATGGGAAGAATATAGTGTGAAAGGGGAAGATCAAGGGCCTAAGGCCAAAGGTAGCAAAGATGGAAAATAATCACTTAATAATAATAGCAGCCAGCATTTACTAAATGCTTACTCTTTGTTAAGCACGATGTTAAGCTTGTTTGTTTTACCTATTCTATTCATTA